TCCTTTACACTTTGTGACACCAAGGAATTTAACAAAAATAAAGAAAGAGACACGGTTTTGGAGTAAAATCATGGAGTCATAGAGATGCAAATGACGCCTAAAATCATCCAAGTTGACCTTTTAACTTTGCAGGCAGATGCAACAAGGCTAGAGAGAACAATGGCTCAAGGTAACCTAAATCAGTGGCCCTCAGGTGATGGCGTGGCCAGGACTCTCCTGAAAGACTTGCTCAAACCTGATTGCTGAGTCTCCCCAAGAGGTGCGGTGATACTAATACAGTCAGTGCATTGGCTGAGTGGCACTGATTTGATGATGCCTAACATACAGCCATAGGAAGTTGCTTCTTTTCTACAATCTTGGTAAAGTACAGATGAACTCACTTTGAGCTACTTGAGAGCAAATGTTGGAACAATCAAGTCATGGGTAAATTGTAGGTTGACCTGGTAGGGAGTATGGAGAAGACTTGATGGTCTGTCCTCATCACTTCAATTTTTTTTTTATGATGGAATCATTCCATTGGTATAAATCCTATTGAAAAATGAAATCCTTTAAAAAAAAATTCTACCTCTGCTGGCAAATGTAAGCCATTGATCTCAATTTCAGCCTGTTTCAAACACCAGGAAGCTTCCTGTGAGTCTCATAGAAGCTGGAGGCAATTTTTGTCTGAAATCCTGTGGCTTGTCTCTAACCCTCTCTTGGCCTGGAATACTGCCTCTGGGATTTGTTCAGATATTTTTGAACAGAAAGTGAGCTGGTAAACTAGGTGTCTCATAGGTGCAAATTTTAGCTCAAGACAAAAGACCACACTGATTTTCTTAACTCATAGCCTCAGAGTTTGGTTAAACACAGCCATAAGTGCTGAAGGTTTAAAGAACTTCGTCCTTTGTGAGAAAAATAGATGACAGATTCCCCAAAAGTCAGGGTAGATGTCATCATTGTATAAAAATGAAAGAATGTTGGGATAAGAGCAATTTTTAGGAATGTACAGTTTCTAAGTGTTTTGTAACCCTCCACACAGATCTATCTTCCTCCTCTCTTGTCTATTATTTAATTAGTAGTAAGGGCAGGTCCCAGGGAGAAAGAATGTGCCCTAGAGAAAAGTTGCAGGGAAAAGAGTTGGGGGGACATCACAGGGGACTGAGAAACTGGCTGGTGTTGGAAAGGAGTAACAAGGATCCCGCCTATGATCCCCTTGAAAACACTGGCTTATTCACCTCCATTTTCCCTAGTAAGTGCTATGTACTAAGGACACAATAAATCAGGTTGGTGAAGGAACTCAGGGTTATATGGATGGAGAGTAGTTAGGGCAGGTCTTACAGTGTATGAAAGAAATAAAGAAAAGAAGAGACACGATTACCACTGTTGCCCACTTAATATTGCTTTTGATTGGACACAGAATTTCACTACTCACACCATCTGTCTTTGTTTCTCTAGGTAATTTGTCAGTGTATCATGTCATGAATCAAAGACCTTTTTTATGGTAAAGTAAATCTGGTACCTGAAAGACAGCACAGAGTGGTTGCCCTTCTGGCGATAATGTCTGAACAGATGGAGACAATAATGTAAAAAACAAGTCACCTCCTAAGAACATTATGTTTAAGTAGTTATTACCAGCTAAGTGCTATGTGATAAGTCATTCCAAAACTCAGTAGCATAAAAGAGTAATTATTTATCTCAATGCACCTGTGCAGTGCTTTGGCTGGAAGTTGCTCTTAGATCTCCTCCCAAGTCTGGAGTTTGCAGACCTAGGCTGGGCTCTCCTGGATGGGTTAACAGCCTCTCCCATGTGTCTTTCTTCTTCTTCCAGGGTCCAGAGACCAGCCCAGCATGCTTTTGTCATGGTAATGATGGAGAAGTAAGGGAATGTGCACAAAGGCCTAAGCTTGGAACTGCCATGCTGTCACCTCTACATTTCTCTACTGGCTAGATACAAAGCCAAGAGACCAGAAGTACATTGTGCTGCTGTGGTGGGAGAAACTGCAAAGTCACATGTGGTAAGGTGGTAGGCTTGTGTACATACGGATGGTAAAGAATTGGACGAATAATGCCCTTAACACAAATATATGCAGGGTTTATTAATTTAGTTACATGTTGTTACAAATACGACAATCCAGGTAGAATGCCACTGGATTTGGATGCTGACTTACAATGTTTTCTTATGGACAAACTATATAAAAAAAAAACTTTATTCCATGTGACCATGTATGCTTGGTCCTGTTCAAATTTTGATACAGGGTAAAGAAACTCTTAACCTGCTAGATTTCCAGTAGGAGTTCGTGTTCTCTAAAATCAAAGAATAAATTTTAGGAACAACAGAGGTTAAGAGCATAATATATTTATTGGAGGAAAGAAAGCCTCTGTCCAAGAGAGAGACAGAAGTGGTCTGAAATGGGTTGCCAAGGACCCCTACATTTTCTAGGGAGTTTTATAGAGCAAATCCCCATGAGGCGGGTCCAAGGTGGGGAAAAATGGGAAATCACAAGGTGGGCATGAGGCAAAAAACTATGGTCAACCAATAAGATTATGGGTATAATTGCTCAGGTAAAACTGATTCAACTGAGATCATATGGGGAAACAGGAATACAGAATAGGGGCTTTTCCTGTAGGGCGTTGGGTTAGTGGCTCTTCCTGGGTTTCTCAAGGTGGCAGGTACCTGTTTAGAATATCAGTCCCTGATGTCTATCCTTAGGAAGCATGTGAGTGCATTTGTTTTACCTTTTGTCTTGAGGTCTGGCCCACAGCAGAGATGCCTTTCTCTCCCAGTTATAAGGCATCTCATCTTTTGCACTGGCTTCTTTGAGGGCCTAGTGCTATCTGACTACCTATAATATTTTTTGTCTAACTTAGTTGCCAATAGAAAAATTTCTTTTCTTCTTTTGCTGTCTAGACTCCTCTAATTACTTCTTTGTATTTCTGTGGTTCCAGTGCTGTGCTTGTCCGCCTTGAGCCTTATTAGTCAATTACAAATTCTCAGACCTCATATCTGCAATTGCTCCCTTGCATGAAATATGCACTGTCTTCAGAGTTGCTGCTAAAGCTCATCCAATTCACTCTTGTAAAACACCCATCCGTTTTACACTTCTGTAAGTGAAGTATTATTCTCTCCCTGGATATTTTGTGTGATTTCTGCAAGCGTGTATTCAGAGCCTCCTAATAGAAGATTCTAAACTGGATCCCTTACATCTCCTTGCTATCTCCTCTAACGTTCCACCTTGGTATCTTCCTGAAAGAATGAAAGCATCATACCACAGCGATGTATGCACACCCATGCTTACTGCAGTGTTGGTAGTGTAATCCCCGTTATGTAATCTCAGGGAAATTACATAAATTGTTGAAGGCCAAAATGGTAATAGCAACAGGATTCAAATACATATATTTTAGCTACAAAACTGATGGTTTTCCTACTATTTTCTACATATACACTTTGGTTTCTAGATTTTCCTTGAGATAGAGTGCAGCGTAGCTTTTATGCTAGATAAGTCGATAGTATACATTACTGGAATCCCTTCTTAGTCCCTGAAAGAGCTTATGGTTTGGCAAGGCACATCTTATAATTACCCTCTAGGTAGCTGAGGTGAGGATTTACACAGCTATTAAGTGACCAAGCTAGGAAACAGGCTCAGTATATTTTTCTACTGTATCACTTAAATTACCGCCTTTAATCACAGTAATCAAATGTGTGATAGTCAACAATTTTGCTAATGAAACGGTTCAGTTAACTGAGACAGCAAAAAATGCATTTTCCTATAAAGATCTAGGAGGATTTGGAAATGATGAAAGTGTGGGTGTTCACATTTCAATCTCCTAAAGATAAAGTAGCAAAGGAGAGAGGCTGAACAGCCATATAGGTTCTGGAGTGTGGAGGCTTGTAATAGAAAATTCTAGCAACTTGGGACTTTCGGTAACTGGTTTTGGGTTACACAACTTCTTGAACAAAGTAAGTAAAACTAGTCTTAAAAGCAGTCAAACTATGAAAATTATCTAAGGAATTTGGAAGAAAAAAACTTACAGCTTCTTTCTTTACATTACCTTCACTTTCTGCTTTTTATTGTACTGTAAATATAATGGGCCAAGAAACCAAGAGTTTATTTTCCTTTGTGGTATTTTGATCTGCCACTTGTGTAGCAAGGACTATTACACCACGCTTCCTTACTCTGATGTGTAGAAACAGGATGTAAGCTGTTTGCAATGCCTTCCCATTTACCCGTGTCTCAAGCAGTAGGAGTTTCAGAGAACTCGATGAATGGGTTAAGGTGTGTGTGTATGCGTCTGTGTTTGCAGTTCTGACTACTGAACCACAGCCTTGGCACTGAGCTACATCTGAAGCTCAATTTTTATTTTATATTTTGAGAAACAGTCTTGCTAAGCTGCTCAGGCTGGGCTCAAATTTAGGATTCTCTTGCCTCTGCCACCCAGAGTACTGGGATTGCAAGCATGTGCCAGCATGCCTAGAGTGGATTAGTTTTATCATCATGAAAGATGGAAGATGCCTCTCCAGAATTCTTCAGGAGGGGTTATTACAAAGACTGTTGGTTATTGATTTATTTCATTAAATTTCTTTTTAAGAACAAAGGCCTCCAAATGTGGAGGAAAAGAAATGAAAACTATTGATGTGTATGGAGTGGTTGATCCCCTGTGGTGGGTGCCTTACTTAATTTATCTCATTATTAGTTCCATATTACAGGTGAGGAAATCATAATATTTTGATCAATGCAAACAAGGTAGAACTCTACCTTTTTGTTATGAGATGTTCATGGGTTTAAACTTTTTGAGGATTTTTTTTTGTATTGAAGCACAGTTCTCAGATATATAAACATGTTAGTCCAAGAAGTATTAGCATCAAGAGATGAATATTAATTAAGTATGCTGACTTCTATGCAAACTTACACATCCCATTCTTCTTGCTGTTGTTGTTTTGTTTTTCTGGTACTGGGGATTGAACCCACGACCTTGCGCTTGCCGGGCAGGCTCTGTACCACTGAGCTAAATCCCCAGCCCCACACATCCCATTCTTTAAAACATGAGAATTTGCCTCTGCTGGAATCTTCAGAAACGGTGCTGCAATCCATTCTCACTGGGTGTCTCCCATCACATGTCCATCATGAATCAGTCCTGATGGGGCATGAGGCAGCAGTGAGGTGGGGATAAGATGTGCTGCCCAGTTTAACTCAATCCAAGTTCAGAAGCCATCTGTGGAGTGGAGGAAAGGGGCTAGCTTCTCCAGAATGGCATGGATCTTGTGGAAATGAACATGGGGGAAGACAGATGGAGTCCGGGAAGACAGGTAAATGTCACTGTCCACAGCATCATTCATTCTTCCAGTGAACCAAATAGCAGTCTTGCTAAGCACTGTGGGAAAACTGAAAAGAATAGACATGATTGCTGTCTTGGGTGTCTTTATTATGGGGAGAGGGGAGCTAAGTTAATAGCTTGTAAGCTTGAAATGCTGTGACATAATAGTTGTTTGACTCTTAGGGTAGGTAGGAGAGTTACTGATGGGGGAAAATGGGACATCTTAGGAGGAGGGGAAATAACATACAGTGAGAAAAGCTAGTATAGAATTTTGGGGGCCATGTGTGATTACTTGCTGAGAGGAAATGGGATGCAGGAAGAAGAAAAATATTCTGTTAAAGGACAGCATTGACAAAGCAATTAGAAAAATAAGTAATGTTCAAGGCATTAGTAGAAAATATTTGGTTCCAAAGAGCTAACATTACCCATTTTCAGTGTTTTATTTGGGATCAGTTCTTTTAAAAAAAAAAAACAGCGTTAAAAACTTAGGGGTTTGTAACTCTGTATTGTCTGTATTGTGCTTGTGATATGTTGTAAAATGTTGTATGTCTGTTAATGTTTCCCTCCTTTTATCCTTAAAATAAAAAAAAAAATTTAAAAAAAAAAATAAAACTTAGGGGTGTGTTGAGAAAAGTATCACTTCTTGTTGGCCGAACGTAGTAACTTCCCTCTTCTTGGGGGGTTAGCCCTGTTTGTTAAAGAAACCAGTGTATTGCAAAGTGTTTGTTTTTATTTGTATGATTTCCTCTTAAGAATTTTTATTTCTTAGTCAAGTTTCAACTACTTTAATTGTGTATCTTTTTTTTCCTACCAGAGAATGTAAAGTAGTTCAGCTCACAGCCAAATTTTCAACTTAAACTTTTTTTTTTTTGGTTTTTGGTTTTTCTCCAGTACCAGGAACCGAACTCACGACCTTGCACTTGCCAGGCAGGCGCTTTGCCGCTGAGCTAAATCCCCAGCCCCTCAACTTAAACTTTTTGTTTTTAAATATTAAGTGAAATATTTTCCTGTATAGACTGGAAATGGATAAAGTGCCTGATGTGGGGCCAGGGTAGTATAAGGAAGTATGGCCTAGCTTTATACAAGATTCCCAGAAATATATACAAGGGATTTCCATGCTAGGGAGCTTTAATTTTCCATGTTGGATATGACCAACAGGAAGTAAGTCCATATCCAAACCATAGGTATGACTCATGACAGAAGGGTCTTGCTAATTAGTCTCCAGCTGAGGTTCAAATTTACTTGATCTCTTAAATGTTTAGGAGACATCATCAGGTAATATGGACCAGAAAATATGCATGAGGCCTTGTGAGAAGAGAATGAAAAACTGTTTTCAAATCTAAAAGAGGGAAAGCTATGCTTGTTTTTAGTTTAAAGCGTGTGGATTAAAAATGAACCAAAAAAGGAACTCTAAATATTACTGAAACTTCCCTTCTTATTGAAACTTCCTGTCTCTCCAAAAGTTAAGTAGGTTGAAGACAACTTCCACAGACTAGAACTAGATAATCAGAGTCTACAAGAAGATTGTGTATTTGCTGATTGATGCATTTCAGATTAGAACAGAGAAGACTATGTTAATTCTTATAAAACCTGAAGCATTTGATGTTTTCCCTAGGAGTCTAATTCTGTTCCATACACCTCCACCCTCTATGTTCATTTCCCACCCTTTCTCTGCCTGACAAATCCTTCCCATTCTTCAGTTTAACCTCTAAAGCAACTTCTCCTGTGAAGCCTTCTGGCCTCCTACTTACTCCAATTCTTCTTGTTTTCTCACTGTAACACTCTTAAAGGCACCATCTGATTCCACCTCTCTCCTGTTTCTCCCACCTACACCTATCTCCTTCATTAGATTATGCATTACTTGAAGGCAATTGATCTTGTTTTCCATTCTGTCCTTCATGCAATTGTAATACATCTTTTGAGCAAACACATGCATCTTAAGTACAACAGTTCATATTGTCATAAATATAATTGTACAATAAATACATCAGAAAATGAGCATTCTGGTATTACAGCCTGGCAAAGTATTTTTTTCTTTGTCCTGCCTGAAATAAATCAGTTGTACTGAAAGCCTCTACCATTAAAATATTATAAATAGTAAGGGAGATTAGAAGGCATAGTTTCATCAATTAGTCAACGAGAACTTTAGTAATTACTAGGTATGCAGCATCAGACTATTGATGGACTAAAATATTCATGGTCACTGTCTTCTTGGAGGTTTAGGCTAGTGAGGAAACTGGTCAATCGATGTGCAAATTAATGAATACATTTACAGTTCAACATTCTACTAGGTGCAGCAGCTTTACAGAAAATACGGTTTAGAAGGTTGTTTCTGCTGACAGCTTGATTTCAGACAGAATAACTCTTATTCATGGACCTTCTGGGAAAAACTAAGGGCTAGCAATGGAAATACTGCTGAGCGGGAATGATGGTGAATTTGTATTCGACCCTTGTCCGCATCTGCTTCAGTCCTGGCTTCTCTGAGATCACAAGCTTTGCAGAGAGTCGGGAGCTGTCCCTGGCTCACTGAACTACAGCATAGGGATTTTGTCAAGCTTCAAGTGAAGACGCGCAGCAGAGAGTCAAACCGCAGCATTTCCAGCAGGGCTCAGATTCACTTCTCCCTTCTGAGGCTTTCCAGGTTAGCCTGTGGGGAGGGGGCATTTTGGAGGCATGGGGAGTAAGCTTTACAGTTGTCCTTGGGGCTTCTCAGTGCATGATCTTTACTTTCTCCTGCAATCTGAAAAGCCTGTGAAAATGAGCATTTAAAGTAACAAGTAAAGTAAACAAGCATTTAATTTGTTAAAATGAGCACACAGACCAGGGAGTTCTGGAACCCCAGAATCAGAGTTGGGGGCCCGGAAGAAATGTCTCTGGCTGCTTGGTGGCCAACACGATTGCAGATTAGTTCCGCTGTTGAATCTAAGGACGCAGTGTGATAGGACTACGAAATCCTTTTTTTTTTCCAACTCACAGAATCTCAGGATGGGCCATTTTCTCTGACCTTCAGATTCAGCCATAAGTTTTTGGCACAAAATATCTGGAAAGAAGTTTTCCAGCCAATCCTTGGGCTGCTTCTGTGGTGCTCCTTGCTTTGTCCAGACTTGGTGATCCATGACATTGATCATAATCTCACCCTGTGTTTAAAACTGAGTAAAAGGGTCCTTGCCTTCTTGCAAGAAGAGCCAGATGGTCCTAGCAACTTACTCCTTTCTTCAGAAGCACTGACTTGCTCTCTGTCGCAACATCTGCACTCATGAGTCACTGTTGTAGAAGGGACCAAATATTTTAATCTAAGAGTTCACCTTGACCACATTTAGAACACGTATCTCAGAGGCAGGGGAACCGTAAATCAGAAAAGAGGCTGAGAATCCAGCAGAGACTGAGGAAATTAGTGACAGAATCTTCTCCCTCTCCCAGGACTTTTATGGGAACTTACTCAACCCATGCCGTATGGGGCAGAAGATAAACATTCAGAGGGAAGAAGTGAGGAAATGACAGCGTAAGGCAGAGAATGAATTTTCGCAGGCAACCCATTAGAGCTACGGATAAGGAAGGACAAAGAAAAGCAGGTCCAGCAGGAATTAAAGAGGATGAGGGACCAGAAAGCATCCGAGTCCAGCTGTCCAGGGAGTGGTCTTTTGAGGACTGGTCTTTGGTCAGAGAGGAAGATCTAAGATGCAGCTGGAGCCAGGAAGGCAAAGGACAAAGTGTGGAGTGAGGACAGCTGGGTGGGTTTCAGGGAGGCTTGAGATGCAGAGAGGGCTGGAGGTGAACCAGGCGCTAGGCAGAAGGCAGGTGCTGAAAAGGCAAGGCGTGACTCATGCTTGGCATTTCTAGAAAAAGGCCACATCTGGCCCTTCATCTGGGGATGGCTGGGCACAGGGCAACAGACAATGCAGATACCAGCCTCTGGTGCCCCTCAACAGCTAGATGTGCATCTCCTCAGACCTGGCTGTCTGTGGCTTAGGGGATGAACAGGTGTTTCAGTGTTTGTGCTGTTTCTTGCTTTATCCAGTACTGAGGTTGGCAACTTCTTCCAGTCACTGTGACATGGAACATGGATCTCATCCTGTTGCAATAATCTCTTGATGTGATTTCCAGTCTCAAACAGGGGCAGGTAAGGACTTGAGTTCAAATGTAACAAGAAACAAAGTAGCGGTTCAGGACTCCCTCCAGGACAAATTAGATTTTAGTAATTAAGTTTGAAATGTAGATTTGTTTCTATCTTACACTGCAATCTGATAAACTGCTTTTTAAGCATTTATTGGCTTTAGAGAATATTGAATGGGCCCATTTTAATTACTTCTCCAAGTCTCCTGCTAGTATTGAAATTAATTGCCTTTAAATAGCCTGATAACTGGTCATAGAGATATCAAGAGTGTACAGCAAAAGCAAAGACCAATTAGGGAAGGAAAATCCTCAGTTCAGAAGTGGGCAGGGATGATGTAGGGAAGGAATATACTGTTTTGTGTCCCCAGGAGGGGATTTCTGTAGTGCCGTGATGTGGGGCAGAACAACTGGGCTTTGGAGTTAAACATATGAGGGTCTCTATCAGTCCTGCCAATTGGTAGCTGAGAAAATGTTGGAGAGCTGCTTAACTTTCCTGAGCCTTAACTTCTTCATCTAATATCTGGGATAAAAACACCCACATCGTAGACATCTTGAGAGGGTTACAAGTAACATATGCGTAATTTTCATCATAGTTCCAGGAAGACAGGAACTACTCAGGACTTGCCATCCTAGTGATCAATCAAGTCTGCTACAACAGACATACACATTATTGATCAGAAATTATAAACCAGAGATGCCCCAGCTTGAGTAGGCAACGAGAATTAACATCAACAGCCTGGTCTGGCTGGTTCCGTATCAAGTTCACTTTGGAAGGTTGTTGTTTTTCAACCATGACTGTTGGTTAATTTTACAAATAAAATGTCATCTTTCCCTTAGTAAAGGGGCTCAACATTTTCTAAATTCATTTTCCGTTCCTTGTTCTCCCCAGATTTTCTGCTGGTATGAAATCTGGATTTCCTGGAGATTATATTTGTCTCTAAGATAGAAGTCAATGATTTCTCCAGGGCTCTGTTTGGATGTAAAGGAGACTCATTGTTTGAGCAGGGGACCCCTGCAGAATTTCTGAGAGAGTTTTCTTCCACTATGGGCCTGGCCCACCAAGGTTGGGAGTTGAATGTAAGTCTCTAGAAGTAACGAGCTACTTGCTGATAGTGTTATCCCTCTGCTATGCCTTTCCTTGCTAATTTCAGAATTTTGCCTACAAGAACTGCAAGTATAGATTGCTGGCTGATTGGAGTCATCTGGTTAAAATATTTTAAAAACATGTAATAGGAATACCTTAAGTTAGAGGGCAGGAATGAACTTTTAAGCAGTATTTTGTATCTTTGAGTGTAAATCAGTTTGGCATCTAAATCCATATTCATAAATATTACAATTTTGAATGACCACTCTTCTTAGATATCACTTTCTGGAAATCATCCAAAACATGTAAAATGCTTACTTCACAAAAGCATTTGTCAAAGTTATTTATAACAATAGCAAGTTAGAAATACACCATCACTGAAAAACTGGTTAAATGGTTTCAGAGGCGTGTACTTAACAAGACATTATACAGTCACTTAAAACTGAAGACACATCAAGCCCCAGTCCTTTGATATATTGCCAGTGAAAAATATGTCTTCAAAATAGAGGTACACTATGATTATTACAGTCTAACTCACATAGGTACACAGAAAGAGGCTAGAAGTAACTATTCTAAAATAATGAAGAGTAGAAAGATTTTTCCTTAGTTTGTTTAGCTGCCTCTTTTTAAAATGATTTTTTAAATTAGAAAAGGAAATAAAATCCTGAGGTTTACTAGGAAGAAATAAAGCAGGTGAGCAGTTAGTTTAACACATGAACTAGACCAGTGGTGAGGAAGGAAAAACCTCACTGTGATGCTGTGGGTGGAACCCACTCAAGGTGAATCACATGAAGTGATCACAAGAAAGACAGCCACTTTAGTGCTTTTCTGTTCATGCCTTATGCTTTGGTACCTCATGGGTTCTAAGGAGACCTGGGGATAAGGAAGCAGCCAACCCTACTAAATTCAGTGGTCCCTCCTGTTCTTGGAGGATACATTCCAAGACCCCTCCTGGGAGGCTGAAACCTGAAATATTAAAGTTCCAAACCCAGAAATTCAATGTCTTTCCCATCCTAATAAGCAATCAGTGCTCACCGTGGCCATAGCTTCTGCAGGTACAATAACAAAACTAGCATAACTTTCTTTTCTCTTCTTCACAGTTTCAAGGAAAGAGGAATTTTTTTTTTTAAATCTTATATCTCAGTAACCTCAGCTTTGGTATAAAGATTTCTTTCTACCCTTATGAAGTCTCCTTTTCACTAAAGGAAGCACTGCAAGGTTTCTCTTTGGTGTATCTGAATTGCAAACATTCCTGCACTTGCACTTTGAAACCATTATTAAGCAAAATAAGGATGACTTGAACACAAGCACTGCTATAGTGTGACAGATGATCTGTAACCTACATGGCTTCTCTGTAACTAATGAAGTGGTGGGTATCATATATGGCATTGACACATATTAAACAAAAGGGCAATTCATATCCTAGTTAGGACCCAGAGAGGTGGCATGAGATTTCATCATACTATTCAGAATGGCATGGGTCTTAAAATTTATGAATTGGGGATGGGGTGCGATTTTCTGCTATTTATTTTCCTACAAGAGATTGTGGGTAACTGGAGCCATTGGAAGTGAAATAGCAGAGCAGAGGCAACTACCACACCAAGTTTGTTCACCTGACACCCTCCTCTCATAAATGTGCATACGAGTGTGTGTCTCTGTCTTTTGGAGTTGGGGAATAAAGTAGAGGAGATGGTGTATTGAGGTGGAGAGGTGGCCATGGCAGCACAGAGTACTCAAGAATTCCAGGATGCCCCAACTCCCAGACTTCCCAAGGACAAAGTAAAAGCCGGGGACAAAAATTTCTTAGAAGCAAGACATCCAGTAGGGTGGGGAATCAGAATTCACAACACATCCTAGTACTCCCCACCTACAGATCTGTGCAGTGCTCTTCCTGAGGGATGGGAAGAACTCATCACAGACAGTTCCTTCCTTTGGAGAAGCTGTTGGTAAGCCAGGTGCCCGGTGTGCCTCACAGGGTGATGTGGCTCTTGCCCAGTGTAAAGCCTCAGAATTTCAGTTTCATGAAGCTTAGACCTCTGCTTCCATTTCCTCCTGGGTAAGCAGAGCATGTATTATCACCAGTTCCAAAGTCACTCCCCAAGTGACAGGATAAATAACGGCTCAAACCAGCACGATGCTCTTTGGTTGCCATGGATGTTTTGATCAGTAACACTGCAGGGTTTACTTTATTTCCAGCTGTCTAAGTAAGCATTTTTAAACCATGGTAATTGAAGATCTAGGAGATTCCTTTCACATTTCTGCAGCAGGATATGTAGAGAAGCATAAGGATGCTGGTGAGAAGCATCAATAAGAAAAAACATGGCTTTGGGGGACTTTTTAATATGCTACATAAGCAGGTAATTCTTCCAAACAAATTTCTTTACAGTTAAGTTTTTGTGAATGTTGATGCTCTGGATATTTTTAGACAGTTTTTGGAAGAAACTGCTCAAAAAGAATAAACAACAAGGATGGGGAAAAGGAGAAAAGAAGGAAGAAAAAAGAAAACACACACACACACACACACACACATATATATATATACATACACACACACATACACACACACATACACACACACATACATACACACCAAGTTTTTTTTTTTTTTTGATTTTGCTTTTGGCTACACTGAGATGAACCTTACTGTGAAAGCTGTCACTTCAGAGTCTTTTCTCAATACACTTTGGGTAAAATGCTGCTGGATTTTTGCAGAGTGAGTGATGAAAGTGACTGTTTCTATTCACTTTCCAGGAATATAAAAAATGTAATAGCGTGTGAGGATGTCTCAAAGAAGAACACCTTTTGTCCTCCAAAGAGCCTCACTCAGGGAACCTCTTCTGCTTCATGTCTTTTCCGGCTCCTTAGGGTGTCCTGGAGCTAGGCACATGGGAATGGCCTTAAGCGGAGCTCTGCCAGTAGGTGCCACCTTCTATCTTGTTCCCTGAAGCTGCCCTGTATTAATGCCACATCCTTGGAATGGCTCTGTTTTTAGAGGCAGAGTTGGGACTGCTAGGGCTCAAATCCAGGACCTGTGCATGCCACTGTACCACTGAGACACACCCATGCTCCTGCTTTCATTCACTGTCAGTGTTTCTTTCTCTCCTTCCTCATCATCAGGTGTTAGTGTCAGACACAATCTCTCCTCACCTTCCCTCTCACTGGGTATTTGTCTTGGATATTTTTCTCTCATTGCTGACACAAAACACCCAGTGCCCAAAATTAAAGAAGGAAATGTTTATTTAGCTTACAGTTTGTGGAGGTTTCAGTCCATACTTGGATGGTTCCAAGGCAGAGTGGCACATGGCAGAGGGCAAATGTTCATGGCGGCAGAAAACAGCAAAGGCAACAAGAGCAAAAAGGGAGGAGTGGCAGCAAGCAGCCTCTTTCTCTGCCTTACACTGTATGCAAACTACCTGCCCCAGGGCGGGTGTAGCACTCACATCCATAATCCCAGCATTGGACCATAAATCAATCATAAATCTAGAAGCCCACCCCATGACTGCATGAGGCTTTGGGGGGACATGCAGACACAAACCGTAACAGTATTAAACCCAGGGCCTTTGAAACTGACTTGCATCCACAGACATTTTTAAATTTTTAAATTGTGAGACAGAATCTCACTAAGTCACAAAATTGCTCAAGCTAGTCTTGAATTTAAAATTCTCCTGCCTCATCCTCCCACAGTGCTGGAATTACAGGGATTACAAGTGAATGCTACGACATCCACTCCTCCCTTTCTCTCTCTCTCTGTCTCTCTCTCTTTCTCTCTCTCCTTTTCTTCATGCAATAGTTTTCAGCGTTTACTGTTTATTGCTACATGTTTGCAGAGCAAATTCCTTGTGGTGAGGTGGTGCATGGACATAACACATTTCTTTTTTCTTTTTTTGGTCTCCTTCCCCTCACCTTTCTTCTCTTCCCTCCATCTCTTGATGTCTTCCCATTTGAAAAAGATCTGTCTCCCTGCTTCTTATTATCAGGGTTGTAGTTTGCTCTTTATTTATACTTTGAGTTTCTCATATAAGAGAGACCAGGTGATATTTAAGCTCATGTGTCTGATTTATTTCACTTTATAGTCACAAAGTGCATTCACTTTCCTACAGTGATTCAAGTTTATCCTTCTTTATGGCAGAGTATTGTGAATAAATACCATATTTTTTTCATTCATTCACCTGTTGGTGGAGATACAGGCAACTTCCAAGATGTAGCTATTATAAATTGCGCTGCTATAAACATGGGTATGCATGGATCACTGTAATGTGATGCCTTTAACTATTCTGGGAAGATATCTAGAAGGGGAATAACTGAATCAAATGAAATTTCTAGTTTTACTTTTCAAAGGAATTTCCAAACTGATTTTTATAGTTGTTGTACTAGGCTTACTGTTTCCCCACATCCCCCACAGCCAGCATTTGCTGTTATTTGAATTTTTGATGATAGCCATTCTTTCTGGGACAAGATGCATTCTTAGTGTTATTTTAATTTGTATTTTTCTAATGGATAATGATGTTGAACATTTTTCATTTGTTTGCCTTCTGTACTTCTTCTGAAATGTGTCTATTCATTCGTTGCCCATTTTTGATTGAAGATGTCTAATGTTTTTGAGTTCTTTATATATTCTAGATATAGAATATATATTCCTCTGTCCAGGGAATAACTGGTAAAAATGTTTTTTACATTCAGTGGGTTGTCTCTTAATGCTGTTAGCTATTTCCTTTGCTGTGCAGAAGCTTTTTAATTTGATAGGATCTCATTTGTTGATTCTTGGTATCATTGGTGTTTTGTTCGGAAAGTCCTTACCTATGTCTTGGTCTTCAAGAGTTTTACCTATTGTATCTTCCACCAGATTAAGTATTTTTGTTGTAATATTTAATGGATTTTTAATACATTTTGATTTTAGTTCAGTACATGGTGAGATATATAGATATGGATTCAACCTTCTGCATATAGATAGCCGGTTTTCCCAGCACCTTTTAATAAAGAGGCTATCTTTCCT